TTTATGATTCATTTTCTTTATACCAAGTGTTTCTGCAAATACATAGTGTGTTCAATACCATAGAATACAGCAAAGGAAACACGAACAGCTCAAGTGCCATGTACTGATATTGTGTTGGTACAAAGTTCTACTAAAGTTGATGTATTAAAAATAATTTATATATTTTATAAATAAAGAAAACAAATCACATGTATAGTAATTACAGGAGGCCTTTTGAGAAGTACTGGTGATTACAGAAATATATATATTTTGGAGTCTACACAACTGCTCAAAATAATGACACAAAATAGTTGAAAGATTTCTGATGTGAGGGACAGGGCAAATCTTAACTGGAGACATGGTATGTCAGGGTTCACATTTTCAGGGATCATTCAACTAAATGACACTAAGAAATTATGAGACCAAACACTCCAGCAAAACTCCATGCCTGAGTTCTGCCTTCACATGGCAATACTTCGCAAAATATAAAAGCAATACAATATGCTAAGACTAACAAAAAAGAAGAGAGGGAAAAATAGATGCATTAAGGAAAACCACATGGGAAATGGTGTGAGGTCAACCACAGCAAAAATGAAGAAGCTAGGAGAGGAAGAACAGAGAGGAGAGAGGAGAAAAAAAGATGGGGAGAGTCACAATCCAAATATATTAATGCAGTGTTTGCTAACTGCTTCATGTGTGTCATCTACACTATCAGCTAAGAGTAATGAACAAAAGACAGCCATTGAAATGAGAACTGACCCACTAATGGGCCCTGAAGGGATATTTTATTTTCGGAAATCTTCTCTTTGTAAAACTAATTAATGCCAAAGCAACCCAACTCTAAGCTGAGCTCCCTTTGCTCAAAAGCTTCTCAGGGTGGTGGTGGGGGTGCTCCCCCTTAAATCACTGACCAAAATCTATTTCAGCTGCCATGAACGAAGGGAATGTGTTTGTGTGGAGGCAGAGGGAGATGGTTCTGCTTTTTGACATTTTCAGAATCTCCCTGTGGCTTCTGCATTATGCTTCAAGAGATCCTGACACTCCCCTCTCTCCAAGCAGGGGTTGTAGGACATCTGTCATGGTAGAAAAAAACTCTGATGAGGTCATGGAACTGGGGACAATGGACAGCTGGCATTCTAGGTGACTCTGAGGACAGTTATTGCTTGGCAGAGTACAGGACAAGCCCTGTAAAACCAGGGCCACTCCACTGACTCTAAGAAAGGGAAGAGACAATATGACTGAGGAGGAAACTCCCATCAAGCGAAGACAGTTGAGCTCATTGGGTATTACAGGCTCCAGTGGGAAGCCACTAGGACCCTGAGGAGGGATTGCTTAAGAAATACAGAAGGGGTGATCATTCTGTATCACACTTTGGTGCCTGCAGACACAGTGTGCATAAGTTACCTCTTGGTCAATGTAAACACATTTTCTATGCTCTATATCAGAGAACAAAAGAGGGGAATCCATTGATAATCCTTCTGAAAAGTGAATTATCATACCGAATACTCTTTCTTAGTGGAAACCAAGTTCGGTTCAATAGTCCCCTTTTTCTGCTGTAATCCCAATATAAGAGGCCACAAACACCTTTCATTTCAGTTCCTAGATGCTGATTAGGTCCCTATGAAATAGAGACAGGACAAAAGTATATAATGGATCCTGTGACGATAGTAAGAAGATAGTGACACACAATGCAGGTGTAGGCAAAAATATACTTGACAGGGGCCAGAAAGATCACTTTTCACCTGGTTCTTTTGCTGAAATATCCAGGGCACAGACAAGAGTTTGTATAATTATTGCTCAAGTTTATTTTTCCCCTAGGGAATTTGTTTTTGAGAATTTCCTGATAACAAGGGAAAGATGAAAAATGATCCTTTTACCTACAGGCAATCAGCCAATGCCAGGGGATTTAATTATTTTCTGGTGTCATTGCTACTACACAAGGAGCTAGGCATACTTTCCACGGCCTGACTGCAGAAACTTCAAGAGAACAATGTCTTCTGTTCCATAACATCAACTGACACAAACATGAAGAATCCATCCAGTTTGGCCTGTGGTAGCTATGTGACAAATTTGAACCCTTCACAGCAAGGGGCCACATGGGGAGGTCAGGGCTGCCTCTGGGAGCTCTGGTTAATGCTGGGAGGGTCCCATGGGTCCTTCAAAAGCAAAAGCTGAAGGAGAAAAAATAGAAGAAAAGGAAAGAGGAAAAAAGGAAGGAAAGGAAGCCAAATAGGAATGGAGAAGTGAACGAAAACCAGGCTAAGAAAAGTGGATAGTAAGAGAAAAGAGAAATATCTTTCATAAGAAGTGAGGAGGAAGGGTGGCAAAGCTCCTAAGGGGAAACAATTGATGAATGCTTTTCTAGGGACCCTAGGTTCCCTCAGCTTCCCCACCACCATAGCCAGAACACTGACTAGATGAGACTGGGCTGTGCTCTGCTTTACAATGCTGTCTCCATAATGAATACAGTGACACAGAGCGAGGTTCACTCACTTTCTTTTCATTCACCCCATCTGACCAGAAGGATTGTAAGCTGCAGTAGACTATAAGCTCCTTGAGGACAAGCCACCACTTCATTTTTGCATTTTGCTTGAGGACAAGCACCGCTGGTGCTTCATACCTAAATGCCATTTTGGGTACATACTGTAGTAGGTACTGGAATTAAGTTGAGACAAGAGGGCATATTTTGGGGAAATCCCTATGTCATAGTAGCTTCTGAACCCTGAACATTGCCCTTCTCATCACTTGAAAAATTCACCTTAAACACACTGTACTTCTCAAATTGGGCAAAGCTATGACATAAATACATTTAAAAAAATGAAAAAATGAAAACCACTTGTGAGAACAGAAGCTAGTCTAACCTTATATACAGAATGTCTATAGGAAGCGGAGTGTCTATGACATGTACACCTTTACCTTCTTCCCGGGGTTCCTTTGGGGCCGGAGAGGCCTTTAGTCCTAATAGAGGTCACTATGACAAGGGCACTTCCTAGTGCCTCTAAGTCCTGAAGCATCATTTGTGCAAATGGTACTTCTTTTTGTGTGGTTGGGAAATGGGAGTTCATCTGCATTTCAGAAACAATCTGACCTTGTGATCTGAGCATCAGGTCCCTGAATTCACATACCCCTTATACTGTTAATATCTCTGGGTAAGAAGTAAGTCCTCAATCTTAAAAAAAGAAAAAAAAAAGAAAAGTAATTTCTACTTGGACTTCTGGGAACTGACACCTTTGGATATAGATGGCAAAATCATGCAAGTGCCCATGTTTCAAAACTATTAAACTCCTATTATTAGTGTCTATAGATCGTGTGGGACTGTTTTATATGTTAGACCCAAAGAACCGTCTTTGATGATTTCAGTGTGTGACTTGAGGAGTTTCTGGGGACACAACCTGATCCATGTTCCAGTTCATCCAATTCTGGGTCTCATAAAGCCATGCTAAAATGAATTTTCAATGCGGTGAGTTACTCTGCTCAGGGGCCCTGGGTCAGGGAAGACAGAAAGACAAAGGGACTGTCATCTGACCTCAACCGTTTCTGTTTCCAAAGGCACTAATGTAGACGTGGAGGATGCATGGAGCTAGCTGAGATGTGGCTGAAAACACGAGGTAGATACATGGATGTAAATGCAGGAGGCCATGATGTTCTAGCAGCAGTCCCAGAGGACAGGTCTCTGAAAGGGGTGGGGTTATGTCTGTCTGGCCTGCATGTATTCATTGTCAATAGAGGCAAATGAGACTTCAGTATTAAACCCTGAAACTTAAACTATCTAATGACAATTGGACCGAAGAAGTCCTGGTGAATGAATCAACACCTTCATAGGCCCCTTATAGAAAAATATATCCAGAATGACTTTGCTCCATTGCAGTTTTTCAGAGTCCTTTAGTTCACAGGTTCTTGGTCAACAGAAAATAGTGGGCATAAAGCAAGAACAGAGAAGTGGTATATAAACACATCGGATACTGCCAGGTATTCCTAATAGGAAAATTTATTGACCTAGTTCTCCATAGTGATTCCATAAGGCCTTCTCATCTGCAGTTTATATGCCTCCAGTTCAACAGAAGGCCATTTCACTTTGCTTGGGTGATTGGCTACCATTGATTGATATGATTTGAGGCATCCTGACTCAAGCAAGACAATTCTCCCTTTGCGGCAGCTCTCCTTCTCCATCCTTCTCAAGAGATCAAATGAAGGTTTCTAAGTCTCTGAATACATTGTAGTGGTGGCTAGATATCAGTTGTTTGGGATGTGTAATCCTTGTTTTAAAAAAAAAATTGGGGCTTTTGTTTCTCTATCCCCTTTTCCAGAAGTGCAGGATGTTTTGTCCTTTGCTTTTTAGTGGCAACCTAGCTGAGGTTCTGGGACCTGAGATAATATAGGCATGAAACTTGAGCCACAAAATCTGGAAAGTAATACATAAGAAAACATGGAGGAAGGTTTGAAAGTAGCAGAAGTGGGATACCAAGCACCTTCATGCCAGGCAGTCTGCAGTGTGCTGCAATGAATCAAGCAGGAGGAATGAGCGTGTGCATGTGAGAGAGGGAGATGAAAAGAAGCAAGGGAGAAAGAGCTCCGCAGAATAATTTGAAGCCAAAGGCAAGCATTTAGAAATGAAGCCCAGATCAAACGGGAAAAGGTCTTTGTGTCAGATTTCTTTGATAAGGATTTAGTATCTGAGATATACAAACTAATAAATTATATTTATTTGTGTGTACACATGCACACATATACACACATCCTAAAGCCATTCCCCATTACATAAATGGTCAAAGGATATGGACAACTAGTTCTCAAAAGAAGAAATGAAAACTGTGAGCAACCATATAAGAGAATTATCTAAATCACTAATAATAAGAGAAATGCAAATCAAAACCACCCTGATGTTTTACCTGTCACTTAGCTAATTGGCAAAGATGACAAAGGTGGGAATAGTTCTTTATTGGAGGGGTTGTGGGAAAATAGGCACATGGATCCATTGTTGGTGGAGCTGTGAATCAGTACAACCATCTTGGAAAGTAATTTGTAATTATGCAAATAAAGTGACTAAAATGTTCATACCTTTTGAAATCCAGAGATTCCACTAGTAGACTACGACTGACCTCTCCCTGCCCAGAGGTTGTCAGTAAGAAGAAAGTCCTCATAGACACTAAAATATTTATAACAGCACTTCTTTTTGGTGATAGCCAAGAATTGTTGATAAAATAAATGCCCATCAGTTGGGGAATGACTGAACAACTGTGGTACATGAATAAAATGGAATATTACTATACAGTAAGAAATGACAAATATGATGAATACAAAGAAACATGGAAAAGATTTACATAATCTGATGCTTACTTCAGCAATCAGAGCCAGGAAAACAATATAGACAATGGCTACAACCTAAACAGAAAGAAAATTGTCAAAAGAAACAAAAAGGACATTGTGAAATTTCAAAGAACAAACACTGGAGCCCAAGAAGGGAAAGGAGAGAACACCTCCACCCCGTGCCTTTGCAGAGATGGGAGTTCCATGGGTGCAGTATATTGCATATACTTTCAGATGTTTTCAATGTATTAATCAGTTTTGTTGATTTTTCTCTTTTTTTTTTCTTTGAAAATATTATTTGTTATAATGGTTCTGGGGTGGGGGAGGGAAAAGGATGGTGAGATAAGTTTTTGCAATATTAAAAACCAAAGTTATCAATAAAATTCATTTTTAAAAATCAATGGCAACCAGATTTTTACGAATGTAATATAAATCCAAGATGGAGAATACAGAGAGCAGAAGCCCATAGGTTGCGACCAGGGACCTGGGGTCTGGAGATGGAAAGCTATACGTACTTCTCATCCTTTAGTTCCCTCCTTGGCTCAGAGAAGTCATAGTCCCTAAGCCTTAGGTCAGGGATATGGGGTGTGGGGTGGGAAGAGGAGTCCTTAATGGCAAGAAGAGAAATGGATTTTCATGTGGACCTTAGAGGAGAGGGAGGCAGTGCAGTACTACGGAAAGAGTTTCAAATTCTCTTACCTGTGTGACCTTAGGCAACTAAATTTCATTGGGCTCAAGTTTCCTCATTGATGGAGTTGGATTATATGGCCTATCAGGTCCCTTTCAGCTTTATGTCAGTAGTTCTGTGATCTGGTCACCCTCTGACAGGGCTAGTCAAGGGAGGTTGCTAGGAAGGCTGGCTTAGAACATATATGTGCCCACAGAGCTCACTACATTCTTGGATCAATTACTCCAGATGGAAATTTCAATGCCCTACTGGCAGGGAACAACTTTTCCTTTTTCTTTTTTTTCACATCGGTGACCAGACCAGACCAATTGAGAGTCCTTATAAAATAGCTTATCTTTAAAGGAGGGAAGGACTATCTTAGCGAGGCATGAGTGTCAGTGAGATGATGGTCAGAATGCAGAGAGCACTACCTGCTTCCTATCTTTCCAGTTTCTACCCTTCTCTTGCCAGGTGCAGAATGGAGCATCAAGTGTCTAAAGCACTAGTCTTTTTTCTGGACAGATGAGAAAGATGACATAAGGAAGAAGCAGAAAGGGTAGGGGACACTTAGGGTCCTGTTCTCTAGATCAAAGTATTCTGAAGTTGTCTTCACTTATTGCCAAAAGAACCCTTTGTAAAGAATGAGATTTGCTCATTGCTGCCAGCGTGGTGCTTGGGCTTCTGTCATCACCCAGCACCGTGCTGTACACCTAGGAGACAGGAAACAAATGTCTGCTGAGATTAATAGGAATACGGATTAATAGGGATTAATAGGAATAGGGGTAAGGACTGGATCTATCATTTCATTGATACAAGGAATTCCGAGGTGAGGGAACTCCCTTGAGCAATGCAAATGGATACTTTCTCTGCAACTTTAGGGTCTTAGAGAGTTTCCTAGAGCAGTGAAATTTTAAGTGACTTCCAGGGCCACACACCAGTATGTTATCAAAGGCAGGACTGGAGCCAAGATATTCTGGCTTCAAGTCTAGCTCTCTAGCAACTATACCATGCTATCTCTGCTTGAATTAATAATAACAAGCATAATAATAATTGCTAATATTTATATAGTACTCTGAGGTTTGTAAAGCATTTTATATACATCATCTAATTTGATCCTTACAACAATCCTATATGTTAAGTGTTACAGGTATTATTATTCTAATTTTACATATGAGGAAACTGAGGCTGAGAGGTTAGGTGACTTCTCTAAGGTCGCATAGATAGAAAGTATCTGAGGCTAGATTGGAATCTTCCTGATTCTAAAGGCCATGTTCGATCTACCTCACTAAGAAATTTACTCCACGCTCAAACTAAGTAATGCAGTGGATGGCATAGACCCAAGTCCAGGCTGGCTGGGCCGATTTACGTGTTCCCATTTCAGATTGAATGACTTAGAAATTTCACATACGGGGGAAGTGGGAATAATTCACATTGTTTAAAGGAAGGGGGGAGGAGGGCAATGCATCCTACCTGCCCCTTTCCTACAGGGTTGGACAGCATCTCAGGACTCCAAACTGAGGGAGCAGATCAGTGAAGCTTGGTGACAGGGTTTTATTCAGCAGACTTCTAATTTCATGGTTGTCCTGCCATTTAGAGTGAACACAGAAGTAGCTAACTTTATACAACAGATGTGGTCTTGAAAATGTATGCATGTGTGTATATGTGCAATGTGTGTATGTGTGTGAACACATGTTGCTTTTCTAAATGCAGATCTGTATTTAGAGTGTTAAGGGAATTCATCATTTAAAGGAATACTACAATGTATCCTCCTGTAAAGTGAAAAGGCATTTTGTCATGCCATAAATCTTTCTGTTTAGAAGACATTGCCCAAGGAGGGAGGTTGGAAGCCTCTTGTCTTTTGGAGGAGAAAGTGACAGCACAGAAGTGACACCCAAGATGATAAAAATCCTTTGGAGTCAAAAATGACATCCTGTCAAAAACTTTAAACAAAGAGAAACAGGGAGATCTGTGTTCTAAGTCGTCCAAAGAATAAATCTTCCCTTCTCAAAGTTATCAACATCAACAGATATTTACAAATTTTACATTTATAAAAAATAAAGAGCAAAAAGTCCTTTCTAGTTTTCTCCCGACCACACTAACCTTTTCTAAGTAAACACACTAAAGTCCAGGGCTACAGGAGGAGGTGAGACAGGAAGAAGAATGGCTGGGGCACACTAACACCTGGGCAACAGAGATAATGGATAGACGTATGTGGGGTTTAGAAAGGAATTGTGCATATTTAAAGAGTACTTACAAAGTCCATCCCTTCCTTTCCCTGAAAGACATGATTCCTTGCAGTGATGAGGCAGAACAGAGGAGACGGTCAAAGGTGAAGGCCATGGTCAGGCTTTTATGGCCACACAGGAATGAGGGCAGGGACTCATCAACCTCCTATGGCTCATGAGATCAAATATTCTTGTTCAAGACTAAAAGAGTAAAGTAGGCAAGTTTCATCCCACTGACATTAAACGAATTGCACATTCGGCGAAAGCCTTAGGGGTCTCTCCTTCCTCACTGAGTACATTTGACTTACGATCTTTACACAGAATTTCAATAACAACAACAACAATAACAACAACACTTTCTTAGCAGTGCATTTGAGGACTATTCCAGACTTGTCTTTGATGGAAATCATAATTATCATGCTCACCTGCCTCTCTTCAAAGGGAGGCAATTTTTAGGAAATCACCCATCACTGATAGCTGGTATCTCTTTGATTCTGACTTCCTTGGGGTCATAGGATGAGGTAACAAACATCTATAAGCATCTGGGTGAGAGAACACTGTATCTGTATAACGTGGTATCTGGTTTCGCTGTGATCGGTATGATAAAAGTCATGAGGTTTCAAATCATGACATAAACCTGGAGCAAAATAAGGTATTTTAGTCATCCAGAGGTACCCTAAGAATCAATGATCTTACCATGTATCCATGGGATTGCCAAAGGGAAATTTGCAAAGAATAGCTTTAAGGATTGTTGTCTCACCCACATCACATATAGCATCTAACCTCATGCCCTTTATGCACGTGGTCACACCTCACTCATCTTAGCAGAACGCCTACAGAAATGTCAATCTTACTGCCATTTATCTTTTTGAAGGAGTCCCAGCCTAGGCACCTTCTTTGATAATGAGATGCTCAGCTCGTAAATAGACTTGCCATGAAGACCTTCACTTTAAAACACCAGCAATTCAGTTACAAAGGGCAACTGAATCCTTTGGATTTGCCAGAAATATGCAACTCAGTCTGTGAGGTGTTCAAAAAATGTGTGTATCTTCTGTGGAGAACCATAGTTTTTCAAAGCTACTTCCACAGAGTGTCCTTGCTACTAGTAACAGTCCAGGGCATCTTCATGCTGGCTACATGGTGTGGCATTTGGATGCCCATGAGGCTGCCAGGAATCTGGTGTAAGGCATGGAGAAGTGTTGCTGTACCTTAGAAAGACCTAGTTCACCAGAGTGTACAATTCTAATAATTTCAGTAAGTCAAGGGAATGGAATTCCCTGTCCCTCTGAGATACGATATGGATGGGACAGGCATTCTAGCCATGCTGGTTTTAAGGCCCACAGCAGCAGAAATAAGAAATAAATAAGAAGAAAACCAAAAAGTCAAATGCTAAGGGGGAAAATAATACCTGATGAGGAGACCTAGAGGAATCCCCATAGAGGGTATGCACAGAAGCATCTCAGGACCTAGCTACTACAATTTGAGGAGGGAAAGAGTTTCACTGCCACCTGCACTTGGCTCTGAGAGCCCTCTCTAAGAGTCATGACCACTTGGGGCAGAACATAGTCACATTTCCTTAGATCACTCCATTTCAATGTCCATATTCCATCAGCTTCTTCATTTCTTCCATACTCCCTCTATTTTAAGGATCCTTCCCATAGGCTTTAAAGCCTAAAGTTAAGAGGAGCTGGGCTGAGTCAGAAGGGAAAAGAGACTGACCACTTGAGGACAAGTGACAAGTTTATCAGCCCAGAAAAGTACAAGTTTTCAGTTTCATGGCATCACCAAGTGGCTTGTACCTCGGCACAAAAATGAGTCCTTTATGCAGCATATGTTCTCGTCACAGCTCAAGGCATAAATCATACTTCCTAATGAAAAGCCCCTAGGAAACCCCATTCTTGTTAGCAGAGCATACTTTATACTAGAAAATTTGCAAGGAGACCAGTGTTGCACCACGAAGCTTATACAGGAATTTTTCTTTCATCAGTGTAAAAATATACAATGCTACTGCTTATTCATTGCAGTGTCAAGGTCCCACCATTTTTCTGCTTTGAGACCTGTTCATACCTCTCCAACCCAAACCACTGTGTTACCTCTCTTGATGCCTGATACTTCACAGCGTAATGTTTTTTGCCACCCATTGATGAGAAACAGAGACTCCTTGGCTGACGTGATGAGGTACTGTCCAAATAATCCACTATCTTTCACAATCCTTGTGTTGCTGTCCCATGGCCAGTCCTGGGCTAAAATAGGTTCCTTTAAGTTCTTCAGCATATCCGCCCTCCCTGTTGACAACTCCATAAAAATTAAGTCTGTTTGGAAAAGTGACGTGGCATAGATGTAGTACTGGTTGCTTTCAGTAAAAGATGGCTGAAATGCCAGATCACAGAGGTGCACATCTGTCTGTAAGTCATATAACAACTGGATTTCTCCCCGGGTAGTTATGGCCTGCACTTGGAGTCGGCCACTGTCCTCATCTGTGCTGACCAAGAAGTGCCCATCAGGAGACACGTGTGGTGCCCCTTTGATGTCACCATTGGGGCCAATCACTGTGTCTGTAACACTGTCAATCACTACCTGTGATGATGCAAGTGTGGTTTGATTTTTTTTGCACTGGACAAAAAAGTAGCCTCCTAAGTGGGTGTAGGCCATCGCATGGGGAATGCAGCTGTAGTTATGGAAGCTTATGGTTTTGACAAGCATCATTGTTTCAAGGTCAATTTTGTGAACTGTCAAATTTGACTTGTTAAAGATGAAGCCGAACCTAGAACAGGAAGAAGGACACTGAGATCAGAGCTGGAGATAAGCTGGAATGACCACTACTGTTCACCCCACTAACACATCCCACTTTACAACTTTTGTCTGATAGCATAGACAGTTTAGTGGGTGACTATTTCTTTCAACACTTCCTCCTACTGTTTGCCTCTCATTCTTTCATAATCCTCAAAGTGATTAATTAGTATTCTTGTTTTGCTTAGATGCTTCTTTAAATGGTAATTACACATTTAGGGGATTCTATACCTTTAAAGGATAATGCCATTAACCAGCAAGGAAAGATTGGAGGGAGCAAAATTAGGTAGGTTAGAAAAGATCTCATGTAGGAGGTGATATAAGACCTTTGAAGGAAAGTAGGGAATTGTAAGAGGCAGAGTTGAGGGGGGAGTAAATTCCATCACAAAGAGTGACTGACCCAAGTTCATTTGGTCCTTTCCCAACAGGACTCCATTCCCCACATCATCCATTTTCCCTCCTCTCAAATGCTGGGAAGAAACCAGTCAGAAAAACTGCTCATCCTTCATTCCTGAGCAAAAAGTTGGAATTAATTAATTAGGGTAATTTGTTGATTGTTTAATTATTATGTTTTCAGTCCTTCCTCACTCCAGTGCTAATGTATTTATGACCTAGACAAACTAAAGCATGGGAAAGGCCAGAATTGAGAAAGGCCAAGGTCATCCATTGCTTCTGTGGCTCTCGCCAGTTGTCTTGACTTTTGTCTTACCACTGGACTTCGAGGACCATGCAGGAGAGAGTGAGGCTAATGACTTTGTGCAACTCTGCCTCACTTAAATCAATGCATGTGCAAGTCAATGGTCCTCTTCAAAAACAAAGGATGAATAACTATTTAATTATTGCAACAACATAGGAACTCAAATCACAGTGCTCCCTAGGAGCATTATGGTATTTGCCTATCAGATGACACACTCAGAATTTTCTGGAAAGTGTATCTTACCTGATGTGATTAATAACAAGGTTTGTAGGGGGGATGAAGAAATCATCCACTCCTTCATATGGTACTCGAATGATGTGTTGTTGACGTTCACCTGCACTTGCTTCAGGTATAACCTGCAGGAAAGAGGAGACCTTATTTTGAATGTACGGATAACCAGAGTGTGGTGTGAACCCAAAGTACTTTTTTTTTGGGGGTGGGTGAGACAATTGGGGTTAAGGGATTTGCCCAGGATCACACAGCTAATAAGTGTTATGTGTCTGAGACTGGATTTGAACTCACGTCCTCCTGACTCCAAGGCTGGAGCTTTATCCACTGAGCCACCCAGCAGCCCCTCAAAGTACTTCTGATGGCATCTCCTCATGTGGAGAAGCTGAGGAGTCTGCTTTCAGGAGAATCATGATGGTGTGTAATGGAAGTGTCCTGGAGAGAACTTGGAGCTAGTGTCGACTTTCTGGAACTAGGAAGGTCAGGGCATACTCATTACATTTGTGTGACGTGCCCATCAGTGACCATGAGTGAGGAGAGAATATGAACTGTGTTCTCAAGGATTTGTGCATGGCAAACAAAGATCTAGTAAGGCACTACCCTGAGGAAGAAGGGAGGACATGAGCTTGTTCACAGAGCTGGGATGGAGGATGGAGTCTGCCCAAGTCAGAACATCTAGGTGGAATGTGGTGTTCAGTTCTGGACACCAAATTTGAGAGAAGACCCAGACAGCTGGAGAGCATTGGGAGGAGAATCTCAATATTATGAAATATGGCTTGAAGGATCTGAGGAACTTTAGCCTGGAGAAGAAAAGACAGAGTTGCCATCTTCAAGCACTTGAAGAGTTTTCATCTCTTGGATGGAGAAAGCAGAATCAGGAGCAATAGGGGAAACAGTTTAGTGTCAGGATCCTCATGTCTTTGACTCCTCTCTTTTTGCTATTAGGAGATATCCTGTTTGACAAAGCTAAGGCCCACCAAGCAAGCTGTGCCCTGAGCTTGGCATAACAACAATCCTTTGTGCTCACCCAGTGGATGAACTCTGCTGCAGCACAACCCCAGAATTGTTTCACACCAGCCCCAGCTGGTCCCTTAGCTCTGATAAGCACCTGCTTGTCCAGACCACATTTGGGCCATGAAGCCCTGCTATGAATGAAACACCTCACTATTGCTGTTACCCCATCAATGCCACAGCTACAGCTCACTGAATAGCCACTGGTACATATATCAATGCTCAGCCTCATTGAAGTGGGTCTCCTCGGTATTAAAGCAGACCCCAGCACACATATCTAGTTTCCTTACTCCAGTGGAATAAAGAAAGCTTTTTGCTTATAACTACTGTTAGCTCTTTGGTTTTATTATATTTTATTTTGTTTTTCAGAGTTAACAGTTGGGGTATTACCTCTATGATTACCTCTTTAGTAGTTTTCAGAGTTGACAGTAATTACATAACCTCTATGACTCTTTGGTCAATTATTTTCAGGGTATGACGTGATCAATGATATAATGAAAGCTTTTTTTTTTTTTATAAGTAGAGCTAGTAAATGGTGGGTTGGGCTTTCTTGGGAGGTGGCGCATTCCCCCTCACTTGAGTTCTTTAAGAAACAGATGGATGACCATATATAGAAGGGGTTACACCAGGGGTGTGCTGGTAAATATTTAACTGGCTCCCTGAAAATAAAAAAAGTATAAATGACACACTTTTAAGATCAATATGAATTATTAATATTGTCTCTATCTCTTAAGACTAAATAATCAACAAAATAATAAATCAAGGCCTGCTTTGTAGTGTTTGCTGATTTATGAGGTATAAGTATTTGTATTGAAATTTAACAATCAGCTCTAATTAGCTGGTAATGAATTAATCTCAGCACATAACTTAGATCACTATACAAAGCAAGGGTTGAACTAGATGGCCCCTGAGGTATTTTCCAACTTTGAAATAAAGTGATGAAATCATTTAGTCCCAGAAATGAGTAGGGCAGTTTGGTATCCATTGACTACAAAGTACAGCTGTCATCAGGACTTGGGAAGTAAGAGGAGAACAGGGGTAGGTCCAAGGGGTCATCACCACACCAGATGACCATTGTGGAGGCCCTGAGTTGGGAGCAGTTTGTGGGGAAAAGATTTTGAAGGCCACACCATGCGGTCAGTCAATAAACACTTATTAAGCCCCTACTATGTGCCAGGCTCTGTACTAAGTGTTGGGGATACAAAGAAAGGTAAAAGACAGTTTCTGCTTTCACTGTGTAAAAGTCACACAAATGCCTATGTACAAACAAGCTATGTATAGCATACACCGGAGGTAATTAGCAAAGGGAAAACATCAGAATTTAAAGGGGATTGGAAAAGGCTTCCCACAGGAGATGGAATTTTAGCTGGGATTGAAGGAAGACAGGGAAGCCAGGAGTCAGAGGTGTCCCCAGGCATGGGGACAGCTAGTGAAAATGTCTGGAGTTGGGAGATGGAACAACCAGGAAGCCAGTGTCACTGGAGAGTGGGGTTTTGGGGTATTTGTGTAATGTATATGAAGAGTAGGAAGGTGGAGGGGGCAAGTTATCAGAAGCATCAAACAGAAGATTTTATATTTCATACTGGAGGTGACAAGAAGCCACAGAAGTTTATTGCATGGGGGAGGGGGTGACGTGTATTTTATGAAGATCCCTTTAACAACTGATGGAAGGATGGACTAGACTGCAGAGAGCCTTGTGGCAGGAAGAGTGAACAGAAGGCTACTCTTTCCCTTCTAATTTTTTGAACCTTTTTAATTTTTATAATCACAATTGTCCCTTTCCCCTTCTATAATCCTCTCCTCTGTTGCCTCTTTGGTTGGGACATCCTGTATATCAGAGGGCTTCAAAGTCAGGAGAGACTTCAGGCTGTCCAGGATCTTCTTTATGACACATCTGACGAATTGTCATCCAGGCTTTACTCAAACGTCTTGAATAAGAACAGGAACACACTGCTTCTACAGGCAGTTCATTTCACTTGCGGATAGCTCTGGTAGAAATTTTGCCTTAGAACAAGTCTAAATCTTCCTCTTTGCAATGTCTATCCAAGATGCCAAGGCCATCCCCTGCATCCAGGGTCATTGCCAGTTATCTTAACTTTTGTCCTGACACTGGACTTTGATGACTCAGGAAGAGAGAGGCTGATGACTTTGCACAACTCTGTCTTACTTAATCCAATTCATGCACAAGTCAAGACATCACCCATGATGTCATTGGTCTTCTTTGAAAACGAAGGACAAACAACTATCTAGCTATTGCAATAGTCCAAGTGAGAGGTGATGAGGGCCTGTACTAGGGTGGTGGCAGTGTCAAAGGACAGAAGGGGGGATATGCAGTATATTACAAAGGTAACATCATTTAGGCCAAGGATTTAGGGATGGAAGATAGTGAAGTGTCAAGGAGGACATCTAGCTTTCAAGCCTGTGTAACTGGGAGTATTGTGGTACCCTCAACAGAAATAGGGAAGTTTGGAAGAGGGGAGAATTTGGGAGAAAGATAATGAGTTCAGTTTTGGACATGTTGAGTTTAAGATGTCTGCAAGACATTCAATTTGAGATGTCCAATAGGCAGGTAGAGATGGAAGTCTGGAGGTTAGAATGTTATAGTTGGATAAGAAGATTTGAAAATTATAAGCATAAAAATAATATTTCATCCATAAGAGCAGATGAGAATACCAAGTAGAGAGAGAAGAGAAGAGGGAACAGACAGAGCCTTGTGACAGAAATTCACATTCAGTGGGCACAATCTGAATGAAGATCCAGTTAAAAGGGCTGAGAAGGAGTAGTCAGATAGGTAGGAGAAGAACAAAGAGAGAGTGCTAGCACAACCTAGAGAGGAGAGAGTATTGAGAAGAGGGTGACTGATGGTGTTAAAGGCTGCAGAGAGATCAAGAAATATGACACTCGAAAAGGAACATCTAATGTGATAATTGTGAGATCATTGGTAACTTCGGAGAGAAGAATTTTAGTTGAATGATAGAAATCAAAAGTCAGATTGTAGAGAGTTAAAAAGAACAAAAGGAAAGTAAGTAGAGGTGTCTATCGTAGACAGCTTCTTCAAGGATTTTAGCCCTTAGAGGAAGGAAAGATATGGCATGATTAGCTAACTGGGATTGGTGGATCAAGTGAGGGGTTTTTGAGAATGGGGACAATATAGACATGCTTGTAGGCTATAGGGAAGCAGCCAGTAAAAAGGAAAGAGATTGAAGATTAGTGAGATAGCGGGGATGAGAGAGGAGGCAATCTGTTGTAGAAGAAGGGGTGGAATGGGATCAACTGGGCATGTAGAGGGGTTGTTTTGGCAAGGAGTTGGAATAGTTGTTCCCTTTGTTTAAAATATCATCAATGGCTGGAATGACCTAGTTTTCATCCTTTGGATATTAACACCGCCACCACCACCAGCAATGACGACAACGATGATGACAACAACAACGATAACGTCAGCTAGAGAGTGAAGGACCCAGAATCAGGCAGACCTGAGTTCAAATCTGCCCTGTTATTTATTATCTGTGTAACCCTAGGAAAGTCACTTAACCTCTTTCTGCTTTCTATCTATGAAATGGGAATAATAGCACCTACCTCCTTAGGTTGTTGTGAGGGTAAAATGAGATAATATTTGTGAGGCACTTTGCAAACCTTAAAATACTATATAAATACGAGCTATCATCATCATCATTTCACTGTCATGGCAAACCTAAACAGCATTTTCAATCCTGCTAGGAATTAGCTTCAGACAGGCCAAGGAGAAATGGAGATGTACATGGAGGGAAGGAAAGTCAGGATCCAAGTCACAGATGGAGGTCAGGAAGCCCTAGGAAAAGGACTCATCTGAGGTTGAAATGGGAGGGGACAAATAGCAAAGAAATACCATCTCAGGACCATAGACTTCTACACTTGCAAGAGTGGGAAATAGATTTAAGAAGGATTTGAACAGGAATATTTTTGCCTAGTGAGTCCTCCAGGCAGGGCCAGAACTGTGAATGAATTCAAAGGCCCAGCAGAAGGAAAACCAGGACGGAAGAGCCAGCCAAGAAAGGCCAAGGTCCAGTCCCTGTCATTTGCCAACGGAACCAGGACCAAGATATCTGTGCTATTTAAAGGAAATGGGACAACAGAAAAA